CCCCCCCCCATACCAACACCACCGACCGTAGGTAGGTGGATTCTTCACGTCAGCCTCCTCAGCCTCTTTCTGCGCGTGGTGTTGTCGACCCGCTTCCGGCGCTGCGTCAGCCTCAGCTCAGCCACCAACTCATTCCCCCCCCTTGGCATGTCAGCTCTCTCTCTCTCTTCCGCCTCTCTTGTTTCAGCCGCTCCCGGCGGCGGGGGTCTCGCGGTTTCACAAATGAAAAGCGGTCAGGCGGCGGGGACGAAAGTATGTATGTATTCTGGGTGGCTAGCAAAGAGCCGAAACACGCGTTTGCTCGTGCGACATGATCGCATGTGCTAAGAAAAGCAGAAACGGAAAGGTCAGGGTGCCACAGGCGCTTCCGTCGTCGTCGTTCGTGAAAGTCGCCGCATGATAAAATAATGAGGAATAATAGCGCCTTCGCACACACGCCGCTGGTGACGGCGGCGGCGGCGGCGGCGTCCGCGCCAGAATCCTCAGGTAGGTACGTAAGTAACGGCTCACATGGCGTGGGCGGGCCGGCCGCCAGCGTCCGCGCGCGAAACGTAGGAGAAACGCGTGTGTGTGTGTGTGTGAGTGCATGTGAAGGGGGGCGCGCGCCTACGCGCCTACGCGTACCAAAGAAGAAGAAAGTAAAAAAGAGTAGTTTTCAAGAGGAAATAATACCTATCGCATGGTGTGAAAGAAAGGGGGAGCGGGCAGGGGAAAAAGAAAACAGTAAAAGTGCGGGCGAGAAAAAATCGAAACAACCCGCCCATCTGGCGAATGAGAAGTCTCGCATCGCCTTTCATGGCGACTGCCCGGCGGCCGACTCCGGTACCTTTCTTCGGACTCGACCGTTTGGCTGTTGCGCAGCTGCCCATTATTTTCATTTTCATGCGTCGTGTCGAGGGCGCGCTCGGAAACTAGGTAGTACTCGTCGATCTTTTTTTTCGGGAGAATTCTCGGTTCGACTCGCTTCTTGAAGTCGGGTCGTCATATTGAACAATACGATGCGTTGTTTGAGAAAAATTTGCGACAATAATGCGCTCCGCCATGAGGGCCCCGTGCGAGATTCGGGAGAACTGGGCATTATTGGCAGCAGCGCTTTTGTGAGGCTCGAAAGCGAAAAGAAGATGACTTCATTCTTTGCGTGTTGCTGTTTTGCTATTTGTGTTGTGTGTGTGGCGTATGATCGTTGACAAGGGGGGATCCGCGAGAGCATTGGCACAAACGCACACACCGCGCGCGACCCGTCGCGCTGGGCTGCGGTTGCGGCACAGCAACAGTCAATGTTGACTACATGCCAATCGACGACATCACAAAGCGGCACACAGAGTCAACAATGGATGTTTTGTTTTTGAAACAGTCTTTTAGATTTTTTGGTCCCCGGTAAAACCGAAGGGAAGAAGGGTGCAAATATCTACAGCGAATGATAAGCAGCAAGGCCTGGCTTGCTTGCGGATGGGTAGAGTGCTAGCGATGCGCAGGGTTGCGTGTTATGTACGCAGGCAGGGTCAGCATCGCCCTCGTGTGGGTTGAATGCCCCGCATCCGACAACAGCCCGCCTGTATGTAGAAGAAGAAGAAGAAGAGAAGAAGATCAGATCAAGAAGCAGAAGACCACCTGGCTTTGGACCAAATGCACCGATTCCTCTCCCAAAGAGGACCCAATGACAAATGCCTTGTTTGCGCCCAATGGCCGAGGTATATCCAATCGTGTTTTGTAAATGTATCGTAACTCGTAAGAAGCGTCGGACTAGCCGCGCTAGATATCCGAAGATGCCAATGCCCAGAGAGAAGTAATGAAATGCTGGACGACGGCATTTATTGTCGCGTTGCGAGACGCTTACTCGTCCCACCACCACTTGGCGTCGGTGATGACACCAGCGTCGGTCGAGCCCATCATCTTGGTGAAGAGGGTGGGGGTGATGTCGAGGGAGCCGTCGCTGGGGCAGCCGGGGCAAGTGTCACCGATGAAGGCGCCGAACTGGTTGCCATTGACCTCGATGGTGAGCTTCTTGTTGCAGAGGTCCGAGTTCATGTTGCCGGCAGCGAGGGCGACGACGTTGCTGTCATCGCTGTAGACCTGTCCGCAAGAGCCGAGGCCAACACTGGGGCTGTAGTAGGTGATCCTGGAGGGCGAGAAGGTCTCGCCGGTGGAGGACTCGGCGGCAACAACAGCCGACTTGGTGGGGACGGCAGAAGAAGAGGCCTCAGAAGAAGAGGGAGCGACGTAAGTGGAAGTGGAAGAGGAAGCCTCGGTGGTGGCCGGGGGAGTGTAGGTCGAGGTCGGGGTCGGGGTAGGGGTCGAGGTAGGAGTCGACGTCGTGGTGGGTGCCGGGGGAGTGTAGACCGAGGTGGACGAGGTGGACGAGGTGGAGGGCTCCTCAGTGGTAGCAGGAGCCTCGGTGCTCGTGGGCTCCGGAGTAGGAGTGGTGAGGGTGGTCTCCTCAGTGGTGGCCTCCTCAGTGGTCGTGGGCTCCGGAGTGGGAGTAGTGTAGTCCTGGGCAGCCTCGGTGGGGTCAACCCACACAGTGGTGGTGGCGACGACGGTCTCGACGACCTCGGCGGTCTCGGTGATCCAGACGAGATCACGCTTGGCCTTCTGCTGGAAGTGCTTGTAGGGGGCAGCAGCGGCGAAGCCGAGCAGGGAGAGGGCAACAATTCCGGTAGCCTTCATTTTTACGGATTGTAGGATGCTGTAGAAGCTTGTAGAGACAGATATCTGCGTTCAGCGGAGTGCCGTAGGGCTGGATGAACTGGCTGGCAGTTCTGATATTGGACCCGAGCAGGGGGAGATTGGACGGTGGAGTCGAGGCTGCTGCTGGAGCGCCAAAAAAGGACAGTGGTGAGATGCTGGATCTCGAAGGAGAGAGAGTGTTCAAAGAGAGAACGAGGAGCTGGACGCTGACACAAGACCTTGCCTGGATAATGAGTGAACAGGGTGAGGACTCGGGGGGTATTTGAAGGTTTCCAGACGACAGGCGGGCGCCGAGGGTTTTCATTGAAGTGAGCTAAGGCGTTAGGCCTCATCCCGCGTGCTGCAGCACTAGGCAGCGCGGCTTGTCAGCCCAGCGCCGGCCGGTTCGGGGAAACAGGCGCACGAGCCCCACCGTCCGTCGACGCACTGCGTCCTTCGTATCCGCCGTCGCCGGTCCAAGTCGAGCTGATGCCAGCCCTGTGCTGCCGGGGGCCACGTCAGGCCCAAGCAACTGCCGGCACGTCACCCATTCGCTGGCCTGGTTCCGCGTGCCGCCCGCTCCTCCCACCGCCCTTCCTGGCGCGTCGTGCATCACCGCCTCGGCCACGATCCTCCAGTGCCCTCCAGCGCCTTGGACGCGCGCAGCCGCCGCGTGCCTGACGCGGCGGGCCATCTGCAGTGAGCAACGGCGGCGAGCTTACGCTGTTTCACGCCTTGCTGTTCCGGTGTGCGTGCTGCCGTGGCCTGCAGCGGCAGGTCTGACTCGGGAATGGCAGCTGGGCCAATTGCGCGACGCCCATAGGCGGGGGTCCATGTGGAAGCGTGCGCCACAGGGGGGTGGATCGACGGATGCGCTCCGACCGTACCTGAAAATCCGCGCTCGTCCCGGCATGGCTGGCTCCATGGCCCGTACCTGCGGTGTTCACCGAGACCTCAGTGCGCGGCACACAGCCCGCCGGCGGTGGCTGAAGCGGCCGTATTGAGGTATAGGTCGCACTCTAAGACTCGCAATTTGGCCGGGGTAGAGGCTGGGCGACTACTGGCGGCGACGGGCGGCGACGGGCTGCGACGGCGGGCGAGGAGCGGGCGTGGACGCGTGGGCGATGCTGCGGCCATCGACCCGCAACGGCGTTTGTCACCCGTTCCACCTCTCCGCCGGCTAAGGATTCTGGACCGCGGCGCTGCAACTGTCGTGAGCGGCCATGTTGGAAGCGGACCGTGCGACCCACCGCGGAAACGTCAGGCTGTGTGCGATTGGATCATTGGATGCGACGCCGGCGGGCATGGCGAATGGCGAATGGCGGTGCCTGCAGCGTGCGACACACCCACTTGGCTTCCTTCGCCGCCGCCGCGCCTCTCCGCGCCTCTCGGCGGGTGCGGGCCCGGGTGCGCGATTTGTCGACCGGGCTTGCAGTTGCTCTTTCCGGATGACGAGAGGGTGCAGCGAGAAATTGAGGGCTGGTGGAGCCGCTGCAGCGCTGGCGGAGCTGTGAGTGGCGGCATCGCGCCCGCCCTACGAGAGTTTTTCATGGATGCATGCGGGAACGGCAACCCGAGCGCCCACTAAGGTTATCCGTTGGGTTATCGATACCCCACAGCTACCTCGCCATGTCTGCAGGCCTTTCTGGAACGTGGTGGTGTGCCTGGCTAAGAGCCGAATCGGTGCATCGCGTCTGTCAGAATCTGATCGCTGACGTGTGGGCTTCCGTTGTTGAGCTGCCCGCCAAAACTGCCGACCCTCAAGCTCCCGTCCCGAGCGCCCTCCGCCGCCGGTCCCGCCTGTGCCTGGCCTCAGCCCTCAGCCCTCATCAGCCTCTGGTACTCCAGCCTGCCCCGTCGGAGAATCCGCTGTATCAGACTCGTGCTAGCCGCCGCCCGCCTCGTGGAGTAATCACCTAAATCTCTGCAAGCCACCACCCGCACTTACCTCGCCTCCTCACGTGCGGGGTTGCTGCAGACACACTTGAAGACTTTTTTTTTTTTGTTATGCAGCGCGTTCAACACACATGCGGCTTATTCCAAATCCAGTCTGACTGCTTGTTGGACCGCGTAGCATGCTGAGTCGCCTGCCACCCCACCGGGACGTCACCTTGTACTCTTTTCGGCCATGGCTCCAGTGTTGCCTTGCCCCGCTGCTCCATCGCCGGCGTCGACGATCGGTTCCTCCGGGTATTCGGCCGATGGCTATCGATGATCATGATGCGGCTACTCGGCTTATTTCCGTTTGGATGGCCTCCCCGTTGTGGCATCCTGCCGGACGAGCATCGAGCTACCCAGAGTTCTAGAGCCCGTGGCTGTCTCAGGCCATCCCTGAACCACTCCGGGCTGAAGGGCTGGGCTGTTGATCTCGGCGGGAGCAGGGTCGGACAGAGGCGAGATCCATCGAACAGCACACTTCCTGGTTACTCCAGACGGACGTACTTCCTGCGGGGAATCACCCGAGGGCGGCCTGATATCCATCCTCAGGGCCTGGGGCACTACAGCATGGTCGACATTAGGCCAACGGGGGGTTAGCTTGAGAGACATCACATCCCCTCCAGCCCCTCCTGACACGCATCTCAGCGCTTGCCAACATTGAAGTTTGTTGCACGACATGGGTCCCAGATGTTTTGTCGATGCATGCCTGTAGGATGTTGCTTTTGTTGCAGAGATCACGCGGTCCAACGCTGTAAAGAAAAGCCATTGGACCTCCTCGTTCCATCTCTGCCAGCGGCTGCGTGTGGATATTCCAGCCACGCCCACCGCCCAAGTCATCTCAGGTGCGGGTGCATCGACGTGATCCTCGACTTCCCCGCCTCAACCGCCAAGGTCCAACGGCATTATTGACCAGGGTCCCAGCTAAAGTTGAGATGCAGCCAAGCATGCGACATCTTTCCCATCCAGGCTGTCGTTGTGGTCTGATCGTACGCAATCTCCTGCTCTCATGGCTCGGAATTATTGTTGAGTTCTGAGATCCATGGTTCCGATGTTTGCGTGCAGTGGTGGCCGAGTGCTCACATCCGACAGGGAAGTCCCCAAGTAGTGTAACCACCTCTACTCTCACTTTACCCAATGATCCTCCGTTCAGTAGCCGCCTTCATCTCGCAGTAGAACGACACCACGCTCTGCAAGCCAACTGCCCGCCAACTGGAAATGGACACAATCGCTTTTTTTTTCCTGGATCTTCGTCTCGAGGCTCAACACACTGGGACCGGTTTCTCTGGATACTTTGAGGAGGCGCATTTGGACCAGTATGCAAGAAGATACTCCGGCTGTTAGGATCATACCGCTCGCGTTATCTTGACCTTCGCGAAAAGCGTCCGGAATGATGGCCCAGCGTCTCAACCACAAAGCACCGCTTCCTGATCCTGCTGTCCGACGGGGCGGTGGCTAGAATTCCAAAAGCGCGGAAAGTTGCCAGATTCACGTTGTCAACGGCAACGACAATCCGCGCGTGAGCGATGGTCGTTCTAGGCCGCACGAACGGCTATCCCAAGGCCATGGCACCATCTTCCTCGCTCTTGCTCGGTGTCCAGGTCCGGGATGCCGTGCGGCGGAAACGACGCCGATGCTGCACCGCCAGTAGAGGGAGGCGCCTTCGCTCGATCCAGGACGCGTGTTCCTGCGCGCGTGGCGCAACTGATGCAAGAAATGTGTTCCTCTAGTCGAGACCGTCTCTCGAGAGGTTGAGAACGGTTCGCAACGGTTCACGTATGTCATTGCCGAGTCATGTTTTTCGAACGAAAGGTGTTGCGACCACGGAGCGGGGGAGAAGGAAGCAGCAGGAGAATGGTGCGTTATCAACGGTCGGTCCCAGACGGCGAAATCGTGGAAGTGGTCGAGAGCGGAAATCCGGTGCTGGGTTTTTTTCGGAACCAGTGTACGGCAAAATGCAGGTATTCGCTGTGCTTGCCTTGCAAGCCCGCCAAAACGCCTAGCCTACCCTTTCCCCGGCTAAAGAGATAACAGAAAGCACCTAGGCGGAAGGTGACGGCATTTCGCTCCGGCGGATCGGGAGCAGCACGTTGTCGGCTGGAAACGGTGCCGCACTGGTGCTTGAGCGTTTTTTTGCTCTTCCCTCCCTTCCGACGGCCGGCTTGTGGACGCCCGACACCCGGCGCACCATTCCGCACACTGAGAATGCGCGCAGTCTTTCTCTTCCTCGGCATTGCATCAAGTTTTTCTTCTTGCGATGGTCGATGGTCGCGGGTCGTGGCACTGTTCCCCAAGCCCCTCTCTCAGGCTTCATAAGCCTTTCCCACAAGGGCATCTTCCACGTACGACCATAGGTCGCAGAATATAGGGCTTCCCGTCCGCTCAGCCGTACTCAAGCTGCGAACCGGCCGATTAGTACTCAAGTGGGTGACCATTGGGGAATCCCGGCTGTTGTACGTTTTGCGTTTTGCCGTCGTTGTGGTGGCAGCACGGGCCGAATTCTTTTTTTCTTTCCATCCTCCTTAGGGTCCCCGAAGTATCACCGCACGAAAAGCCCTCAGTCTTTGCCATAATCGGATGGTAAAGCGGTACCGGATGTATTCGTTGCTGTCCGAGTCCATTTGGGTCCCAAGGGAAAGGTCGCGTTGGTACGGATCCGGATGCTCCAGGTAGTCCAAGGATACGATGACGTCTAGTCCAGTTCAATAGCCCCCAAGCTGGCCATCTTGTTTCCTTAACTCTTTCGCCTTTTGTACCTGTCCCCTGCGAGAAGTGTTGCCGCACTTCGCTTCCCAACGTCCTAGCTCTTTCAAACATTTTCTCTTTTGGTCGTATGCCGTACAGTCACTTCGAACAAGAAGAAGAAAGACGAGACAGAGACAGAGACGGAAGGAAAGGGGAATGATGTGTGAACTTTATGGTATTAACAGTGCTGGTTACTGATTTGACAGTAGATGACAGCCCACCACCGCCGGGTGGTCTCTAGAAGTCATTTCTCCTCCAATATGGTAATTTACAGTATGAGAGAGAGAGAGGGAGAGAAAGAGAGAGAAAAAGGCGTTGATATGTTTTTTACACTTACTGACGCAACCCGAACCCTTCCCCTTTTCCATTATTCTTTTTTTCTTACACTCACTCCCTTTACGCTGGCTACATCCCTCTCCTATGCAAAAATGGAAAAAACACTGGGTATCGAACACGTCAAAAGGAAAGAGCACAGCATCGCCAGCAGCGGCGGAACACTGCCGCCACTCGCAGCTCCCGCCGTTGTAGCTGTCGCCGCCGCCGCCGCCGCATCCGTGGACTGCGAATCGTCGTCGTCGTCGTCGTTGTCGGAATCGTCGTCGTCAGGAGTTGTCGCAGTCGCCGTTGTCGTCGGCAAAGCACTATTGCGCGTCGCCGTGTTGTCCGCGCTCATCGTTCTAGACGCCGTGGCCGCGGCAGAGGACAGTCTCCTCGACGTCGATGAAGAACCGCCACCACCACCACCCGCGCTCCCAACCACCAATCCTCCCCCAGGCGCCACACTGGCCACAACCACCACCTCTCCATCTCCCGACAATCCTGATCCCAACCCGGACCCCGTCCCCGATACCGTCACCGTCGCCGCCGGCCCGCCAGCCGACAGCGTCTTGCCGCCCACCACCACCGTCCCCGGCGCGAGCTGCGCAGCCGACAGCGTTTTCTCCCCGCCGCCCCCGGCGCCGCCCGCGGTGAACGTGACGACGGCACCGGTCCGGCCTGCTCCTCCTGCTGTCCCCGCCGCCAAGCTCGACAAAGGCACGGTGGTAGCGCCGACAATACCACCACCGCTACCGCTACCGCTACCGCTACCGCCGGTGGTGGCGCCGCCAGGAAGCGTATAAGTCCGCGATCCCCCAACCACCACCACCACCACCGCCGGCGGCTGTGCGTCGTCGTCGTCGTCGTCGTCGTCGTCGTCGTCGTCGTCGTCGCTATCGTCGCCGTCACTGTCACCCTCAGCTGCCGGGACACTGCTGACGACGACCTGCGTGCCGTCGATGGTCGTCGTCGCGCCGGCCGCGATGGTCTGCGTGCTCGCGTCCTCTTGTGCGTCGCCGCCGGCGCCGCCGCCCACGACGATGACGCCGGCGGTCGGATCGGACGGGTCGGCGGCGATGACGTGGGAACCGGAGCCGGAGCCGGAGCCGGAGCCGGAGTCGTCGCTGAGGGTGATGGCGATGGGGGGAGCGGGAGAAGCGGGAGCGGGAGAAGAAGATGCGGTGGGCGTGTATAGCGGCGCCGTGGCGGTCGTGTGGCCGGCTGGGAGGGTTTGGCTGCCGCCTGGAGAGCCGTTGTCGTTGTTGTCGCTGTTGTTGCTGTTGCTGTTGTTGTTTTCGTCGTCGTCGTCGTTGTTGTCGTTGTTGTTACCGGCGGTGGCGGTGGCAGTGGGGTCTGACGAGTCCGCGGCTGATGCAGGTGCTGCTGGAGATGCCACTGCGGTCCCGATGGTCGCGACGACAGCGGCGGAGGAAGGCGGTTCGGGCGCAGACGATGCCGGAGCGCTGGTCTCTACGACCGGTAGGCCATCGGACGCTTCACCACCGCCTCCCTGCCCTGCGGCAGTGCCTGTCGTCGTCGTCGCCGTCTCGGCCGCCGGGTCCGCGAACGACGTGCTCCAGGCCTCGGAGATCATCGAGCCCAGATTGTCCCAGGGGTTGGTGTCCACCACCGCGCTCGTTGCGGAGGGGTCTGCTGGATCGGAGCTACCAGCGCTGCTGCTGCCGGTTGCTTGAGCATTGTTGCCGCCGCCGCCGCCAGTCGTCGCCGTGGCAGTCGCGGGAGCCGTGGGTGCGTTCGTCTCGGTCACGGGCGCCGCAGCCGTCGTCGATTCAGGATCCGCGCCCGTCGTCGTCGTCGTCGTCGTCGTGGCGGCAGGCACCTCGGAAGACTGCGGTATCAACGCGCCAGCCGTGGTCAGCGGGATGGGCGGGTCGGTCACGTATTTCTGCCAGGTGAGGGCGGTGCAGTTGGCGAAGCCGCCGCCGCCGTCGCTTCCTCCTAATGCTTGTTGGTAGAGGGCCGGGTCGGTGGGCAGCGCCAGGTAGGGGTGGTAGTCGTCGTCGTAGATGGTGGCGCAGCCGTCCGGGCGGAGGGCGGCGGTGTTGACCTGGCAGGCTTCCATGCCGTGGTAGGCGGTTGATGGGACCTGTTGGGGTAGGATGCTGTCAGTTTGGGGCTGTGTGTGTGTGTATGTGTGTGTGTGCGTGCGTGCTCACCGGATAGTTCAGGTCGTTCCAGTTCAGTGATTTGGTGATACTAAAAGACAGTGGTTAGTAGGTGTTTTCAACGCGAAACTCGTTCCCTCTCCATCGAGCCCCAGTCATCACTACGGCATTATCCAACAAGAGCATCTCCAAATCAAAGGAAAAGAGAAGAGGGTAAAACAGGAAGAAGAAACCAAGAAAAAGTAAACACTTACGGCCACCCCCTACTCATGCTCACCCAACTCACCGACTCAGGCGGCAACCCAACCACCACGTTCCGATACGTCGGCAAGCAGTACGGCGCGGCGTCAATCTCGCTAAAACTGACATAAACCGTCGGACTGGTAAACGTATTCGTCCCCACCACCACCGTCTTCGTCGTCTTCGTCGTCGTCGGCGCAGCGCTCACACCCACCTTTCCCTCCCCCTCCCCCTCCCCTTCCCCACCACCAGCACACGCCCCCTCCCCCCCATCCTCACGCGGCCAATAATACACCCCCACCCCCCCGGCCGCGACCCTACACCCCACCACCCCGCTCGGCAAGACGCACTTCTCGTCGTTGACGAACCCCGCCGCGACGTTTCCCCCCTGCGCGCACAGAGGCAACGTCTTGGGCTTCTCGGCGAGCTCGAGCGCGCAGCCGCGCCGGTCGTACGCGCACGCCGGCGCGGGGACGAGGGCTTCGTACGCGATGCGCGTGGAGACGAGCGTGGTGGGCGAGGCGGTGGCGACGGTGAGGAGCGAGTAGGCGGCGCCGGGGGCGCGGGGGATGCGGTCGGCGCAGGGGGTGGATACGGAGGCGGAAGGCTGGGGAGAGATGGTGGCGTTGGGGGAGGGCGTGGAGGGCGCGGAGGGCGTGGAGGTGAAGTGGGGGAGGAGGAGCGGGTTGTAGGAGGTGGAGATGGTGTAGCCGCCGGGGTAGGTGGTGGTGATGAGGGAGTGGGGGATGGTGGCGAGGGCGGAGGCGGCGGCGTCAGGGGAGCCGGCTAGGATGGAGGCGGCGAAGGAGGCGGAGGCCGAGTTCCAGGATTGGATGAGGGATTCGCAGGCGCGGTTGCGGGAGAGGGCGGCGGCGTCGGAGGCGTCATGCTGGGTGGTGGAGTTGGCGGGGGTTGGTGTTATTGATGCTGCGAGCTGTGCTGGGGGTGTGCTCGATACTGTCGTCCCTGACGAGGTTGCAATGTCGAGGTGTGCAGCTGCTGGTGTGGATTCGTTCTTCAGAGAAGAGAGGGCGATGGTGGAGACTGGACTAACCCAGAAGGGAAAGACGGCGAGAGTGGCAGAAAGGAAGGATAGGTGCGGTGACATTCGAAAAGGCGTGGGGAGGATGTGACTTGTTTATCACTTCTCTCTGATCTGCTCTAAGCGAGAGTGGAGGGGAAGAAGACAAGGAATCAAGCCTGAATGAGGCAGGAGAGATACAGATTTGTGGGCCGGAAAGGTCTGCGTGCGGCGTAGTCGGTTGGTTGTATTATTGAAGGGAAAGCAACACGCTGGCTTGTTATGGGTTGCTCTAGTGCGACTCTTCTCGCTTTTGTTCTTTGAGGGCGGTTACTGCGCCGCATGCATGAACCGTCCAAAATACATTCACTTGTACCTACGGGCCGTCATCCCGTTCACCGAGCGGCTCGAGGAGCAGAGAGTCGTGGTTCGCGGCAAGATTTGCGGTGGGTAATGTTAACTGCGCCGCAGCCTTGACGCTCGGCCAGCGGCTCGTGCGGCCCTCTCATTGGTCGCTTCGCCAAACCACCCCCGTCTTCCGAGCGCTTAAACAGATATCATCATCTTTTCTTCTGTCGCTAAAGGACCTGTGGTTATTTTCGCACAGTGGAGCAGAGCCAAGATGCTTCGCCAGACGGGCGGCAAAGGCGCAGCTAGGTATAAAGTGGAAGGACATATGTATTCCAAGAAGCCTACTTATTACCATGACTCGAGCAATGTTGCCAGCCTTCATCGTCAAGTTCAGCACCACGACGAAGACTAGGGCCGTGTAACCCACGTAGCCGCCTACGCGTAGAGTGATCTTCGCGCCATGTCCGGCCTTTCCTTTTGGACTCTCCGAGGTTGCCGTGGGATGTGTCGAGACATATGGTTTTACGATTGATATGTCAGGGTAGGAGATTGTGACTTGGTGAGTTTCCCCAGTCGGTCCGGAAGCCCTCCCCGCTACGGCCATGGAACTACCATTCATCACGGACTCGCCCCCAGTGGCTTGCGACCATACACCACCGATCTAAGCAAAAAAAAAAAAAAAAAGCAGTCAGCATGGTTTCCTTCCGAACGAGCAATGAATGAAACACTCACAAATCCTGATACGCGTGCACCTTCTTGTCCCTCAGCATCGCCCGCATCTGATCCAAGTACACCATAACCTCGTCCTTGGTCCAACCCAGGTAATTCGTCAGCAAGAACATGCACCAGCCCTCTATGCCCCGTTCCCAGTGCAGCCTGTCCCTCTACAGTCAGCGCCACATCCCACGTTTCAAGACACGAAAGGCTTTCAAAGCAAGAACGGGACACCGCGGATCAAAAATAAAAATAAAAAAAGAGGAAGGGAAAGGGGGGGGGGGGAAAGGTCGCGCACCGATTGAACTCGCCAATCTCCCTCATCCTCTCGTCCTTGGGCCAGCCGCCGATCGGCCACTTGAACCTCCTCTCCACCACGTCGACGAAGCCCGCGTCGACGAGGCCCTGCTTGGACTCGTCGACGGTGCGCAGGCTCTTGCCGAAGGCGTCGCCGGCGGCGAGCGACACCTGGCCCCAGCGGGCGAAGACGCTGTCGGGCGCGACGCTGGCGTCGTCCGACTTGGGGACGACGGACATTTCGACTTGTTCGACGAAGCCGCCGGGGGCGAGGGCTCTGTTTTGGGGAGGGTTGGGTTAGTGGGGAGGGATAAGGTGGGTTGGGAGGATATTGAGGCGAGGCGAGACGAGACGAGACGGACTTGAAGCATTCGTGGTAGAAGGCGGGCCAGTCGGCGACGCTGCCGTACAGCGAGCGGATGTGGATGAAGTCGAGCGAGGCCGGGGCGAAGGTCCACGGCTGGGTGCAGTCGTCGATCTCGAAGCGGAGGTTGGGCGGCACGGCGGGCGGCAGCTGCACGGGCGAGAGGTCGGTGCCGATGACGTCGGCGGAGGGGTGCTGGTCGGCGAAGTCGACGGCCCACAGGCCGGTGCCGGTGCCGACGTCGAGGACGCGGCGGGGGGTTGGGCCGATGGGGGCGAGGTGGAGGCGGCCGTTCAAGGTCAGGTTGCAGATGTGGTGGCAGATGTCGAGCTGGTCGGCTTGTTGCTCGTCGTTGGGACCCCTGGTGGAGTGTTTGTTCAGCACAGCACGAAGGCTGGGGGTGTCGAGCAGGTAGGTGTTGTTACCAGTACTGGCCCTGCTTGTAGGCGCTGTATCTTCTGCCGTTTTCGTAGTGGTAGTTCATGATGGAGGACTTGAGCGATGTGGTCGCGCTGCGCCATCTCTGTCAGACTGCCGCAACTGCTGGGCACGTTCTGCTGAACTCACGAGTCCACATGGCTGTCACCGTACGGGTCATCATCTCTGGTGTCGTCCTAGACGGGCACGTGAGCGGAGGTGCACCCGGAGTCGAAGGCTCTCCAGAGGGCAACGCACCACGGGAATGTGGTCGCTGGTCTGCATGTTGGACCAAGAGCTCGCACGGCATGCAGGGCGATTGAGGCGGGCAGACAGGCAGAGTAAGCGGATGAAAGCGAGCGGGGTTGACTAAGCCAAGATGGTGTTTCCCTCCACCCCCCACCTAGGCTCGGGCCGGACGGAAAGCGTTCGCTCCCGGGCGAAAGCGGCGAATGGGAAGGCTGCCGGGAGAGGGGGACCGTTGTGGCGAGGGCACAATGGCGAGGGACGGGTCATGATCATCATTGGCGCGCAAGCGAGGCCGGGCAGGGCGACAGGGTGGCGAGTTCCTGGTTTGCCATTTGCTGCCCCTCTCCTTGCATCCAGTCGCCCAGTCGCCCCATCGCCGATTCTTCTCCGCCCTGACCTGCCGCGGAGTCGATCCCGCCCTCCAGCTCTGCTAGGTAGGTACTCTGCCAGCCGCTCTCCAACTGCGGGCCTCGGCATGCATCGACGCCCTGTGGCCCGATGCCAGCCAAGTCCATCTCCGCCGCCACTCCGACGCATGCACCATTCCCTTGCAGCTGAGCCATCTGACTTCCCTTTCGGGCGCAGGCAATAGTGCGCTGGCAGATGAGAAATCGAGGAGTGCTCATCACTTCGCGTTTCCACGCCGCCCGCGAGCGGAAACGAGCAAAGAAACAGCCCTTCACACCCCGCCACCACAAGGGCTCCGAGAGCACACGAAACAAAAGACGCGGCCGTTTCATGTGGGCGCATACGGCTCTCACGTCGAATGTATAACGACCTGGGGCTCTAGACCCAAGCCACCACCTCTCCAGCACCACGCTCCTAGCTCAATCAGGATAGGCCGCACTCGTTCACCAGGCCAACTTCGAACGTCTGGGATCGGGATCGGCATCGCAGCAAACACTGTTTCTTGCCTTCGACGTGTGCACGTTCCGCTGCTAGCCTTTGCTGTCGTGTGCCGGTGGGGTACGAGGGAAAAGGCTCCAGTTGTTGAGCCGGTTCCATGGGTTGCCCGGATCTGTGGACCTGCCAGCTTGCGTCACTTTTGAATAATCCCCCGGCTCTCAGCTGGACAGGGTGCATGAGGCTTGAACAGCCTTCACCACGTTTGCTATTAGCCGAAGCTTGTTCACTGATACCTTGGCCTTCCATATTTAGACCCACTCCCACGCCTGTCACCATGATTTCTTAGGCCCGACTTCACACTCGGACTTAAATGCTGACTGCGCTGTTCAAGCTGAATCCTGCCATCAACAGCGCAAGCCGTTCCACCCATTCCTCGGACGAGCGTTTCATCCATGCCCGCCACATGTATTGAGCTTCATCAGCCACATTCAATACCTTTGCTCGCGTTCCGCTTCCAGCAACTGGTACTTCAAACCCCCAGCGGGAAGTGGCCCCCTGAGAGCCCTTCTATCGTGGATGACTACCCTTGGAGAGGACTTACCTTCAAAAACCTACTTTTCAGCTCACCTTCGCCTTCGCAGACCATGTTCGAGATGCCATTGCTGCTGGGTATCATCAGCTGCTATAGCGGCTCATCACCATCAATAAAACTTGACTCACTCGTACAAAGCTCATCGCCGGCCAACGCCAAACGAAGTGGTAGGATACCGTTAGCTGGATATGGGCGAACCTGTTTTCCAAGGTTGCCCTCCATTACTGCCGCGACTTCCTCCGTAGAAGCGTGCCGCTTTGTATACGAGTCTCGGCAGGACAATGTCACGTCTGCCGCCGCCATCCCACTCACATGACCTCTTCTGCATCTGACCGCATCCGTCCCACGCGCGCCGCGCGCCCACAATGGACTGCAGTCAAGGCTAAAACTTGAGGACGTCGAATTCACACTTCGATATCTGCCTAATTCAGTAGCGTGAGTGACCTTACAGTCCTTGAAACGGGTATGAACCTTTACCTCGTCACTGCGAAGCGGTCAGGTCCACTTGCTCCAGGCGTGTCGTTGACATTTGAGTTTCCTCATTGATACGCGTTCTCGCTGACGGGCAGTGACTTGACTTCATGATGGTGCGTCTCATCCTTCGTCGGCTGCCGTTTCGGGTGGGCGTGCATTCGAGCCGTGGCATGCGCAGGAGGCGAGAAAAAGGAGTGTGTGTGTACTGTGCTTGTGTATGTCAGACACGCAGTTAATGGTACTTTTGCGGCAGGCAGCAGCCTACGAGTGGAAAGCCATGTTGATCAAGGAACGGGGAAGGTGCTGATTCATTCAAGGCGTTGTGTTCTCATCGGCTGCGACGTATCACGCGCCCGCTCCATCTTCCGTCACCATGCGACCGTGGTCACTGCCTCCGCTTGTGGGTCTTCTGCCTGCGTGGGATCCTGTGATAAGGGGTCCCTTTAAAAGCGTTCCGACTCCAGTATGTCTACAATCAGTGCAAGAGAGGCGGTTGAGAGTCTTGGCGAATATCTGCGGTTACTGCGCGCTGACATTCGTGCGCTTGATTATGATCGCGATATCATCCTGACTGCCGATCAGCAGAAGGAGTTTGCCCGATACCGCACTGGATATCAAGCTCTTCCTCCCAAGATCCGGTCCCCACTCTGTGTACTGGGAAAGAGCTTAAGCTATTCGCTCCCAAGGGCTTCTCTGTCACGCCCCTACGTGTTGATGAGCCTGTTCATCAGCAACTGCTCCTGCTGAAGTGCATCGTGAAAACGTGCTACTCCCGCTTACGAACAACACTCCACTCGCATATAGGCTGCGGCGCAGACGACAACAAGCCAGCCCAGCCCCGACCAGTCATAAGTTCCGGAAAGTCTCTGTGTCCCTCTTTTGAAGGAAAGGAGGACACCGACGATGCAAGTCTCCGGTACGCCGAACAAGAATGAGGTTTCTTTTTAAACAGTACCTCGGTCTCGCCGGAGGAGAGCGCCAGAGCTCGGGATGACCGATGACGTGACGCATCATTTTGAGATCCGCTGGCGCTGCTTTCTCCGCGCCCCCTTCGTGGACGCAGTGCTGGGCGTCTGCCGCACAGGGCAGCTCTCGAATTGTCGGCTGTGTCAAACTCATGTAAGGACTCCATCTCACAGCGTTTTGTCCCCGAAACTTGCACTGGATGTGTCTCGTGAATGCTCAGGTTGCTCTGGTTCATGTAGTCAGCCGTCCACCGTTCATACTCGATACTGGTCAGATTGTGGTCTTGGTAGATGCACAAATATTCGGTTTCTCTAACAGACCTCTTCTCTCCTCCAAACAGTTGCAAATAAATAACGGACTGCGTTTGATTGCGACTCACTCAAAGCAAGTGTGAGATATCACTTTCCACTGGTGCTCTTCCCAGCTCTTCCTCTACTTTTGGTTGCGCTCTGAGTGCGTTCAAACCGTGATTTTTTCCCTCAAATATAACTCCGCTCCTTCATTTATACCGGCTGTTGGTGGGAATTCATTTTGTCAGTGTCTGGCGGTGATCAACAATAGCAAGAGATGATGACTTACTGTGCCACAGCATTAAGACCGACTTTTGATACTTGTCTCACATCAAATACCCACACATACTATATAGAGGAGCGAGGGGCAAGTCGTGATAAACGCCGTAGCAGTAGACTGACAGAGTCCGGTTTGTCATATGGCATCATTTGCTTTGTTGCATATGCGTGGCCAGAATCAGGGTGGTATGCCACTGAAAAATATATACGCAGCTACATAACAGCCGGCACGGTGGGAAACAGCCGTGCTGTGCTTGCTGCATCTGAGTGCAGGAAAAACGGATCACGCGCTTTGGCAGCTGAAATCAGACTCGGTGCGCTCAGACTTATCTATAAAGTCGTCACCAGAGCGTCCCGGGCTCGATCAACCGTCAACCATTATCTACCAGCCAGTGGAGATGGATCTCCCGAACCGTACTTTGCCGTCTGCATTGTCAGTCTGTGACCTCCGGTGTCATTTTGTGACCGCGCAGCTTAAACACCAAGCCTACTCTCCTGTATGGCTCATCTGCGTGGGCTCCACGAAGACCTTACGGCATCATTAATCCTGTACAGCAGGCGATGAAGAAGATTACCTTAAGGCATCGATGCCGATCTTCATTAATATTGATCAGTGTGGGTGATCCTTGCTGGAGAGCATCTATAGCTCGGACAACGACCGAGAGCAAGAGTGCGGCAAGCCCAACCTCTCATTGGTAGGGTGAGGCTCGTTAAACTCCACATAGATGATCATAAGTTAGTAAAGTCAGTGAGTACTTGGATCTCGAGCCGTTGATATATGTGTCTATGTTGACTTCGTGGAATGCAAGGAGCTTTGACGAGCCTGCTTTCGATCCACAGCCTCGTGACCTCAATCTGCCGATGACTATAGCTAGTCCATGTGCTCAAAAGTTAGAGCTTCACGTTAACTGAGGATTAATGCCCCCCCACTTCCACGCATTCAATTTCCACCTCCGAACGACAGCTCCTCCAAGTCCGATCCTACCTCACTAAACCTAAGCTCCTTAACTTCTCGTAACTCCTAACTCACTTTAGTTTTACCACGTTCCTCGCGGGCGGAACCCCGCGCTACGAAGCGTTGAGAGTCGTTGCCACCAACTACCATTGCTGCTCGTCCGTAGCACCACCATCTGCTCCGGATAAGTATCAGCATTATTGACCTCCGCTGCCAAATTGCTGACGCCACACTCCATTCACCAATCTTGCAACAAAGCCGCGACAGACGAGTAAGATGAGGTGAGAAATCATTCTCTGGCTCCCCTCCTGACTGGACCGAAGGGCGGAAGTACTCTGCTATAAGTGCTTGATCTTGTCAAAAAACGCAGAATTTATCCTGTCAAAGCAATGAGCCACAGAGAATGAAACCTTTGGAATTTAAACGCAGAACAATAACCCAAGAGCGACATGTGAGCCAGACACTAAGCATGTGCGGGCCATATCCTCATCGGCGTCTCCGCTGGCTTTAAAAGCTCACCACAAAGTCCTGACAGGTCTTCCATGGCTGCCGCCCTCCCCGACGGGCTCAATGCCTGGAGTCCCGCAGTGTGACTCGTACATCTGAGACCATCCAACTCAATAAAATGTACTTCCCTGCCCCGGACGGAGCTTTCGCCGAGTGGTTCCTTCATCATGACGGACCAAGCCTAGTTCAAACATCATAAAGACATTAGTATCATCTTCACCCTTGTTCTTTGATGGTGTAGGAACTAGAAATCTGCATCTAGTTCCAAGTCGCAACTTGCAACAACATTTTCAGATTGAAAAGCAGCCAGGAAGCGAAGAAGTCGAGATCGTCTGTGTCTAGCTACACCACAAAAGCGAATGAGTTTTTTGTAGTTTGCTTATTGCTAGAGAAAGCAGAAAAAAAAAAGAGGCAGAGCATTTAAGGGCGCTCAAGGAGAGGCACAGCGCGGGGAACGCGGTAGAACTCAGGTCAGGTGCGAGAGGTGCATAACCCTCACTTGCACCACCACCAACCCGACGCATAAATACATTGTTCCTCAACCGCGTAGTCCCTCCACTCCATTTCCGCCATCCGGGGGAGACCGTGAGTCGGTCTCAAGAAGACAAAGGCAGGAGCCTCACCCCCGATCCGCTTGTCCCGATCCATTTACCCCCCTGTTGGCTTTCCATTCCACTGTACTTCGTCGCCTTGGGCCATGGAACCACTCGAAAGACACCTACCCCTTCACCAACGAGCCTTGGTGCTGATCTCCAAAAAGACGTCTCAACGCCAACCACCAACATCTTCCCAGAGCGCGCTCCTCAACCACAACTCAAATCCCACCTACATCGGTTTAATGCAACCAAGCGAGCGCGAGAGTGAAGTTGGTTTGCTGTCCGAATAAGTCCCCCGTGCCATCTTCCCAAGCAAACGTCCGCTGGAAGCGATCGAAACACTTGCCGTGGCCGGTCCCCCTCGAAAGTTGAACCAGTGAGTTGAAATTTATAAGGAGTAAGCTCCTCAAACCCGTTTTTCTCGACATCAAGCCAGATAGCTCTCTCTCTCTCTCTCTCTCTCTCTCTCTCTCTATTTCTGTTCCTTCAAGGAAGAGGATGACACAGCTATACTTCTCGAGGTACAATCAAACGACTTCTTCGACACTGCACTGTGGATCGATCCCCAACCGTCACGGCACTCCCGCTCGGACTTCGCCTCTCCAAAGAGGAAGCGAACCCTGCAACAGCAGCAGCAGTATATACCACCATCATCGTTTAAAAACAACAACAACCCTCACCACCATCCCACTGGTATCCAACAGCAGCAGTATGATATAAAATTGGCCAACTCCACCGGTTCTATTCGATCCCGGGTAATGCGGAGAACAAAAACAAAAAACTCCAAAGAAAGCGCTGAAAGGAGGAGGACGAATAGGGCAAGCTGACAAACGCTCTCCCTCCTCTCCTCTCCTACCGCTCCTCCTCCTCATCCCCTCCGTTTTCCCATTGCCACTCCATCCACCAGATATCTCCATCCCTCCTTCCTCCAAGTAAAAAAGAAAGGAGAAGAAGCAAAAAAGAAATTCGTATTTTCCCTCCCTCCCGCGCTATCCACTCACTCACTCACTCACTCACAAAAATCTACTCAATCCGCCCATCCCCATCCCCATCCCCACCCATACCGCAATAAACCAACCAACCAACCCTACCACCACCACCACCACCACCACCACCACCACTACTACTCCCCTCCCACCCTCACCGCCGCCACCAACTCCCTCGCCTCCCTCAACTCCTTCTCGCTCATCTCCATCCCCCGGAGATACGTCTCAAAAACCGCCAACACCTCCACCAACCCCGTCCGCAGCGCGCCCGCCACCGCGCCCACCTCACCGAGATTCTCATACCTCCTGCTCCTCTCCGGATCGAACGCGACGTCCGTCCAATGCGGGTCCAGCCCCGCCTTGACGAAGCCATCCAGGGCCGCGAGGACGGCGGCAAAGGTGCGGATGATGGCGACGACGTCGCGGTTGACGACGCCGTAGACGTCTTCGGCGATGCTGCGCAGCGCGAGCTGGGTGAGGGCGGTGACGGCGTTGACGACCGTCGCGGCGCGGCTGTGGGGCGAGCCGAGGGCGACGGCGGCGGCGCGCCGCGAAAACGTCTGGCGGAAGGGCGGGCCGAAGATTGGGGAGCGCAGGAGCTGTTGCAGGGAGGCGTGCAGCGCGCTGACGGGGGGCAGCTTCTGCGTCGTGTGCTCGATGAGGCGCGGGAGGTCTTGCTGGACGAGCGGCGCGAACGGGTGCGGGCCGGCGTGGTTGCCTTGGGAGCGGGCGAAGTCTTTGGCGCGGCGGAACTGCGTCGCTGCGCGGCCGGCGGGGGCGTCGACGGGGGCGAAGATGTCGTCGGATTTGAGGGGTTCGCTGATGAGGGGCTTGTGGGCGTAGCCGAGTTGGAGGCGCTGCTGGGCCATCTCCTGCTCGGTCGGGGGCGGGGGAGGCGGTGGGGCGCTGACGGCTTCGATGCGGTCTTTGACTGCTGTGATCTCCGTCAAGCACGCCTCGAGGACGGCTTTGAAGGTCTTGGTATCGATCTCCTTGTAGATGGTCGCGCGGCGATCCGGGAAGCGCTGGGATATTATGGCAAGTTCCCAGAATGCGTATGACTATAGATGATGGTTAGAGATGGTGTGGATGTCTACAAGTGCGTGCTAGTTACCCGAACCAAGTCCTTCTTGGCCCTCAGCCCGGAAAGCAAACTGCCATTTGGATCCTTCGAGTCGTTGGTGATCGGGATGGGCTTGTGTTCCTTGTCCTTCTTCACGGGCTCCTTAGAAAAGTAGATGCTCATGGCCGTGTGTGTGAACTCCCAGAGGTAGGTCAACATGAATCCTTCGATAGCCAGGCGCCCGGTAAGCTCGAATGGGTTGAATCCAGGACGCGGCTTGTAGCCGTAAATGGTGCTGTCGCGAGCCTTGGCGAAAGGAAAACCAACACACCAAACCATCCGCCTGAAGAAGAGGAAGTACGTCACGTTGCCGAAGATAAGAAACAGGCCAACGCGGGAGATGGAATCGTGGAGTATGGGAAGGAGACTTTGCTTGAGAGCGGCCTGGCGTGAGCGGGGCGGTACGCCGTCCGCCGAGGCCGGATTATTTAAAGGCAGGCGTAGGCGGCCGTAGTCTCTGTAGAGATGGAAACCGGCCTGAACCACAGAGAGCTGCAGAAGCATGGTATAGAGGTAAAGCGGGCGCTCATTCAGCCTCGATCTTTCATAGGTCTTCCCCGGGTCGACTATGCCCAAGTTCGATTTCTCGGGTTGCGAGACGATGTAGACCATGCCGAACCAGAATGCAGAGGCACCATAGCAGACAAAGGTGCTGACTGCGGAGAAGCTGTAGAGGTATTGTGTGAAGGTCTGCAGTTCGGAGGGATTTGTTCGCTCGCCAGCTGTGCATTCGTTAGCCCTGTGCGAGAGCTCGACAATGGGCGGGACTCACAATGAGTGTGTCCCATGGTAAGGCACAGGGTAAAAAGAAAGCCAATGAAAAGGAGCAGTGCGCGAATGCCGGCGGCAAACCACATCCAGATCCCTGTGAACCGTGTCATTAGCTGAGCCTCTTCCGGTTGCTGGGGCTGTGACGCACAGCTATTGAATTGGCCTTGCCACATGGCATAGATGTAGCATATGGCCAGCGTCAATCCCATTACATAGCCAAACTGGCGGTGCATGAAGGGAGACATGAAGCCCCGGTAAGGACGCGCATTCGCCGCCATGATGCCAGTGTGTTGTCGTGTGCGATTCGACGGATTCGGGTTGCGGAGGGCGAGGTAGGCGATCGGGAGGAGCTCGGTCGAAATCAGGCCATGACACGGCGCGGGGGCGGCGGGAGCGAAGCGGGTTTGGCGAGGCGGGGGTGGGAAGGTGGCAGCTCGCGATGAGCGCGTGCAGAAGCTCGGGCTGGTGTTGACTTTCGCGCGGGAAAGCAAAACACATGCCAAGACCGAGGGCGCGCAGGGGCCCCCCAGGACGATGTCATCTGCCGACCGGGAGCTGCATCCTCCGACCGGCGCCGCATCACCGCCGACTCGATAACCAACAACAGACGCCCATCACCAGGCACCTGCATTCCGCCTCCACATATACTCCCGCCCGCCGCCCGTTCCGCCGGTACAACCAACGTCCTTCTCGTTCCACGTCCGCCCGACCATGTCTTTCGACGATACCTCCCGGCTGGAGTCCCAGCCAACCACCTGGCGGCGGCAGGATGATCCCGAGTACGCCGACGACCCAGAGTTCAAGCGCTTCACCACCCAGCTCTCCGACCAGCTGTTCAGCCTGACCTCGAACGTCACCCGCCTTTCCAACCAGATCGCACTGCTGGGCACCAAGCGCGAGACGGAACGCGTCCGCGAGCGCGTCCGCGACCTGATTGAAGAGACGAGTTCCGGGTTCAAAGAAGTCGGCGAGGGTCTGAAGAAGGTCCAACAATGGCACGATCTCGGGGTACGTATGCAAGCGGCGTGCTCCCTCTCCCTCTCCGCAGCACCGAATGGAGGCATCGATGCCGCCAAGTCTCTTCTGAGTTCTCCGACACAATATGTTTTGCATAGATTAGAGATACTGACATGTCTCTGCACCAGCCATCCCAAAAGTTCACCCAAGGCAAGCTAAATCGGGAATTCAAAGCCACCCTCACCGAATTCCAAGTCCTCCAGCGCCGCGCCATCGAAAAAGAGCGCAGCTCCGCCGCCGCGGCGCGCGCCGCCCTCGACGACGGCAGCGGCCTCACCAGCCCCGGCGCGGCGCCGTCGCACCAGCAACAGCAGCAGCTGCAGGAGCAGGAGCAGCTGCGCCTGGCGTCGCAGGACGAGGTCGACTTCCAGGAGTCGCTCATCATCGAGCGCGAGTCCGAGATCCGCAACATCGAGCAGTCCGTCGGCGAGCTGAACGAGCTCTTCCGCGACGTCGCCCACATGGTGCACGAGCAGGGCGAGCAGCTCGACATCATCAGCGAGAACGTCGAGGGCGTGCGCACCGACACGCGCGGCGCCCACGTCGAGCTCACCACCGCCAGCCGCCACCAAAAGGCCGCCCGCAACAAGGCCTGCTGCCTGCTGCTCATCCTCGCCGTCGTGCTGACAATCGTCATCTTGGCCGTCGTCTTGGGTTAGAATGAAGAGCCTTTCTCCATCTCTCTTTTTCCATCTATCTCTCAGCATTGTCTTGCATCTCCCTCTCTCTCGCCACCTCTTTCCTTAACGTCGTGCTGTAACAAAGTTCCATGTAGCATCGTCTGGGAGCAGGAGGCAGTCTACTTCGAGAGCTTTTGTTCTTACGTGTATCTCCCATCGTCCTTTCCTTTTTCCCCCGGCAGTAGCAACCGCTACCTACCTTACGTTTTTGGTCATGTATACCCGGCGTTCGAAGAGGAGATCGTCTTGAATCTTTTTTTCTGTGCGATAAACACTTTGCCCCACACACGGCGTTTCGTCCAAATTCCTCATTGTTCAGCCCTCTTCTTTCCTTGTACTACAGGAACCAGAGACATCCCCGAGTGAAGAATGCAATGCACGCGCGTGCGTGCGTGGAGATCATGCATGCGCGTTATACATATCCTTCCTGCATCGTCTGTGCTACGTCCAAAAAAAATCGTGAAAGGATGATTCGATTTTTTTTTGGTCCCTACAGACTACCTAGAACAGAGTCCAACAATCGTCAGATTGTCTAGAGCCGGGTCTTGCTCGCTTACATAGTCTCTTGCGAAGCGTTTACCTCTAAAATCCACCGAACGCCCAATCCTCCCGACGATGATAACCATATATCCCTCATGGCGATCGTAGTAGCCACTGACGCGCCCCTCCTCCAACTCTCTCCGTCCCGCCTTCCCTGAAGGACGTCGCCCGCTTGACCCTAACACAACATGCGCTTCTCTTCTCATTCCGGCTCTGGCAAAGCGCAAAATACATACACACACACACACACACACACAAACACGCACACACACATACACACATACACACAACACAACACACAGGAACTTCAGGCTACTACAAACGGTCAGCCAAACCAACATAATCACATCGCCTGCCTGCCTGCCTGCCTCATCCGGTAATAATACGTAGCACAGAGCATTTCCTCCTCCTTCTCTTTCTTCCAGCCGGCGCGTACGCCAAAGAAGACCAGAAGGGTCCCATGCACGATTCAAGATATTACGATGCCAAGGCCATGAACGGGCGGCGGCGCCAAGCTTGTTAGTTAAAAAAAAGAAAAGGAATAAGAAGAAAAACCTCCCAACCAGCCCACTAAGCATCAGTGGCTCACGATCCCCCCAACCAGGATAGAAGTACGTGAGGGGCCTCCCAAGTATTTATCCGGCAAAGGGCAGGCGGTGAAAAGATAACGAGAGATCCGGATGACGAGGATCCGAGACTTCCTCGCTCATGCTGTATATATGTCCTTCATCTGTCTTCTAGCGACAAACGGACGGACGGACGAACTTACCTCTCGATATATCCTCTTCCAGGGCAGGGGGGATTAGATAGTATAGTCTAGATGAAGTACTCTCTTCCAGCTTACCTGTTTTTTCAAATGTTTCTCCCTTCTTCAGCCAAGCTAAACCTTTCTGTGTTAAAACGTTCTTTTCTTTTTGCACCTTTTTGAGAGCCCATCTTTCTCGCTCGACAGCATTTTCTTCTCTTTTCTTCGTGGCGGGTGGATGTAAGATGATGATGTGGGATAGTGCCTTCTTTTTTCTTGTTTCGAGGGAAACGACAGGGGGTATTAAGATCCCCAAAGCGAGGAAAGAAAGGAAAAACGGAAGACAAAAACAGAACAAAGAAACACGAAGGAAAGAGAAAAAAAAAGGGAAATGAAGAGGGAGTAGAAGCTCCGACAGAAGCAGCCACATGCCAACTCTTCGAACAGGGACCAAGAACACCCGAAGTCAGACCACCTCCTGCATAGTTTCTTTCTCTTTCACTGCAAGATTGAACGCGCAGACGAACAGCCTCGCACCTTCTTGATCTTCAATCAAACTCAAGAAGCTCAAGCAGACTATATGTCCCCAAGACTTTTGGTACCGTAATGAAGACCAAAATGATCGGTCCTCTGATGTTTCTTCTTCGATTTTATGCAACCCATCCCAATCCTAGTGTGATCCGTGTTTGCTACCCATGTACCGAATGTGCGTGTCGTCCGCGCGTCGTTCGAGTGAGCCGATTTATGCACCCTCCCTGGGATGCATCTCGGAGAAGCTGATCGTTTAAAGTAACCAAAGAAAGCCGGCCCGCATGGACGCTGGAAACGGCTTCTGCAAGAAACAACTCAGTAGGGTGAGTACCCTCTCCCACGACCACGGTAACCGCCTCGGTAACTAGTGGCGACGATGACTTTATTAGTATATAACAACGCCTTTGCTGGGAGGAATGAGGGATGTTGTTCACTTACCCGCCACGGGGAGGAGGAGGGCCGTAGCCGCCACGTCCACCCCAGCCGCCACGGCCACGAGGAGCGCCGCCGCCGCGACCACGACCGCGCGCCATGCCAGGAAGGTTGGTGCGCTTGGGGACGACCTGGATCGAGTTAGGCTAATTCAATAAACCGGTGATGATGGCGACTTGCCTTGATGTTACGGCCGCGGAAGACGCTCTCGTTGAGGACGAGGGCCTGACCAACGAGACTGGGTTCAGTGAACTCGACATACGCGTACCTGCATACGCCCGTCAGCGTCCATTTCTTGCTGCGCAGCTCTTGCCAGGTAGCGAAGGTGTCTTGAGGATGAAAGGGTCAACAGTGGGGGAGAGCTGTCGTGAGCCGGAAGAACTAGCATGCTTGTGGCATTGCGCAAGACAACCGCACCCAGCATCTACGGCCAATGCCCAACACGGTATATGCAATTCAAGAAAATCCAACTCTTGGTATGACTGACCCCTTCGGATGTCCGGTGAACTTGTCGAGAAGGATGGTGACGCGGTTGATGGAGCCGCAGCTCTGGAAGTGGGCCTGAATCTCCTCAGGCGAGGCACCGTAATCCACATTGCCGACGAAGACACTACGCGCGTCAATGTCCTCCTTGTTCTCACGGAGAGTCTCGGTCTGGGAGTCGAGGGAAGCCTGCATCTCGCGAAGCTTGGCCGCCTCGGCCTCCATTTCCTGAACGCGCTTCTTCATGGCGGTGATCTCCTCCTGTAAACGGAGTCAGCGAGGCAGTGTAACAAGCGAGCACATTGGCGCATGCGCAAGAGCCGGCGGCTGCGAGGAGCGGAACCAAAAGGCAGGGGCAGGCGGCGCGGTGGCGCGCAAACGGGAAGATCTAACCTCGTCGTTGTTATCGTCATCCTGGATGATGTCCGGGCGAGGCTCCTCCTCGCGGATGGGTTCGTTATCGGCCATGATTGGTGAGGTTTGCTTGAGGGCGGCTTGTTTCGTGAGGTAGGCGGCGACCTGATCTGGCGTCATGATTAGCGGCGAGCAGGCGCAAGACGTTGAGGCTGGTGGAGTGCAGCGGCGAGTGGGGGCAGAAGGCAAACTTACGTCAGGCGAGCGGGCAAGAAGGCGCGTCCGGGCGGAAGCGGACGTGGGGGGTAGGCGGGTGCGAGAGTGGACGAGAGCGCGGAAGGAGAGAGAGTTTGAGATAGGCAGGCAGCTCTGGGGACGGGCGCGGCGTCTGGGGTGCAATTGCAAGTCGCGTCGAAAGCTTGGGCCTGCCGGGCCCGACCCGCTCGTCTGGGCGCTAGCCGTGTTAGCGCTTGCGAACACCTGGTCCGGCTCAACACCAACCCGGGCCACCGCTCTTTATCATCACTCTCTCTCTCCTCACTCTCTACTTCTCTCCTGGCCCAACAATACCGTGCCCATTGAACCATCGCATATCTCTAGTGCCAGCCATCCCTTCGTCCCCTTTGCCACGCCGATATAACCCTTCACTGCCATGGACGACGAGGAAGGCCAAACCCAGCCGCTCCTTGGAAGCAGGCGGACCTTTACTTCGTTTACCCACGAGAATCTGCAGGGTTTGATTTCGCCGTCGACCGACTCTTCCATCGATAAGAGCCGCCGCCAGACTCAGCGCTTCTTGACTTCCAAAGTTGGACACTATGCTGTCTTGGCGCTGGTAGCTGCCGATGTGACGTGTATCTTCATCGGTAGGCCTCGTTTCCGTTGGACAGGTTACGTAATTAAACGACTCACTCGTACCAGACTTTGTCATCCAACTGTTCGTATGCGAAAGTCACAAATCGAACACGGGCTGGAATGATGCTCTGGACGCTCTTGGCATCGTTAGTCTGGTCTTCTCGTGCCTCTTCATGGCTGAATTGCTCGCTGCCGTCTGGGCCTTCGGCCTTGCGTACGTTGTCACCCACGTTTGTTCTCTAGCAATTGCAGTGGCTTATGCTTGGTTTCCGTCACAGTTATTTCAAGTCCAAGTTCCACTGCCTCGATGCTGTTGTCATTATTGCCTCGTTTGCCGTCGACCTGCTCCTTCGCGGCCCGCTTGAGGAAGTCGCGACTCTCGTCATTGTCCTTCGTCTGTGGCGTGTCTTCAAGATCATCGAAGAGCTCACGGCTGGTGCAAAGGACCAAATGGAACGCCTGCAAGAACAGATCGAGTCACTTCAAGAGGAGAATGCTAATTTGAGGGAGGAAGTGAGAAAGCTCAGAGTGGATTAGCACCGTTTACATGGTGATAGGCGTTGGCAACGCGAATCGGTGAAATCGCCTCCTGTGGTTTATATGATTAAGCGTTCAAGTAATCCATATACACTAGTGGACGACGATTACGGATTATTTATGTTCATACTAAATTGTTTGAACATGTACCACGAGGCTGCATAATGCAAAAGTTGGAAAGTTGCAGACTCAAACATAAGAGGTGAAACATTCCTTTTCGAAGCCTGATCTACACACAGTTTGCCTAATCTTTTTTGGTCTTCTCTAGAAGCACTACAGGATGTGCATGTAACAATACAGTAGACTCCCTCCGCGGTATCCAGTGTCAGAGCCCTCGAGATCCGAGCCGAACCATGCTTAGCCAAGACCATCCATCCCCCATTATTGCCAGCAACAGGCCCGACACGATCAAGCCATGACCTCAACCCTTTAGTCAACATCCATCCTATCCTCATCGCCACCATCTTGACCACGGCCCTCACCCTCCCCATCAACCACACCATCCGCCAACGCCAACAACTCCCTATCCACGCTGCCCTCCTCCCTGACTGCCCCATCGCCGCTCATCTCCACCTCCTCAGGACCATTTCCATCCTCTCCCAGCCTCTCCTCCACACCCCCCTCCCCGGCCTCCTCTCCATCCATCCTCTCATCCCTGGTCCTCCTCCCCTCCACACACAACGCCCGCAGCCTATCCCCATCCGCGAGCAGCCGCTCCCTCAACGCGCACTTCCGCATAATCTCGTTGCGCAGCTGCTGCACGGTCATGCGCGCGATCGGCCGCATCCGGTGCTGTCGCTTCATCCCCGCGAGCGACGACGGGAGCGGGGGCGGCGGAGACGCCGGGTCGTCTGCTGCTCCACTGCCATGGGCGGGTAGGCTCGTGTCGTTGTTGTTGCTGCCGTCGTTGAGGCGCACCGCGTTGCCGTTATCGCGTCCGACATCAGTGGCTGACGAAGGACTCTCTGCGGCCGCAGGACCGGACGCTGTAATACCCGACACCGACTGCGAAGAAGAAGAAGACGGACCCAGTCTGATTACGTCCGTTCTACCCTCGGCACGCACCTTGACGCCGACAGCGGTTCGCGCCAGGGCCGCGCCGGCAGCCTCCGCGGCGGCGGCGTGCGCTTGTTCGTTCGTGGTGCCGGGAACGGCTCTGGCGGCGAAGTAGGCGGTGCGGGCAGCCTTGAGCTGGGAGGAGTGTTTGAAACTGTATGTGACGCTGATCAAGGTTTTAGCCCGTATAACATGGTGGGGAGGGGAGGAGAAAGGGAGGGAGAGAGAAAAGAAGCCTTACCCATGAATCGAAGCCCTGATATCGCGCGCACCACCCACGATGATGCTGCTGCCGCCACCATCTCCCGCCGCCCCAGAATGCGCAGCGACACTTCCATCAACGCCTCCCTCTCCAGCCGCCGCATCCGGGCCGTCATCACCAGCATCAGTACCAGCCATCACCACATCCCCATCCCCATCCGCCTCCCCACCAGACTCTCCCTCCGCACCTTCCCCACCAGCCTCTCCCACCTCCACCTCCCCTCGATCCAAACCCCCCAACTCCAACCCCCCCTCCAACCCCCCCAACTCCCCCGCCCACCTCCCCCTCCTCTCCACCGCCGCCTCACACATCCTCCTCAGGCTCCTCGCCGCCCTCCTCACCTGCGTCCGCCCGAACGCGTGCAAGAACGTCTCACTGCGCGGGACCGGATTCAACGACGCCACTCCTCCCACTCCCGCTGATCTTCCGGCGGCGGCGGCATTAGCGGCAGCAGCGGCAGCAGCGGCAAAGTCATCTGCTTGGTCGCCGACGATGAGCCATTTGTGGAGGTCGTTGTGGCGGAAGGCCGGGGCGGGCCAGGAGGGGGGTGCGTGGGGGGTGGGGGTTGATCGGGGGCGAGTGGTGGTGGTGGTGTTGACGCCGGGGGCGGAGGTGGTGGTGGTGGTCGGGTGGAGGAGGAAGGGGGAGGAGGTGGAGGTGGAGCTGAGGGAAGAGGCGAGGCGGTCGGACGATCTGCTCGGTGCTGCTGCGGGTTTCTGGTTAGTGTTGTCGCTTTTCTTGTTGATGCTGGCCTCCGCCGGCGTCTTCGTCGTCGTCGTTACCGCTGTGTGGATGGGTTTCTTGCTGTTGTTGGATGCGTTCTTGGAACTGCTGCTCTCACCTGTCTTCTTCCCTGGGGCAGTCATGCTCGGTGTTGACTTGGCCGCGGTAGGTGTTTCGACACTCTTTTTGCTAGACGCCGCTGCAGCCGTGGAGGAAGTGAGCTCCTTGATGCGGCTCGAAGCACGCAGGTTGCTTCTGCTGGAGCCAATAGGCGTGACTGGGGTATCGCTGGATGGCGTATCGACTTTGCCCTTCTTCTCACCCGCGCTGCTCGCAGCAGGTGTGGATTTCTCGGTGACATACGCGGCGGATTTGTTGCTGGTCTCCGTAGCTAGACTGGCGATGCGATTCGAGTTGCGCAGGTGGCTGTCAAGTCTGACGGGCGTGGTCTGGGTGTCAGTGGACGGCGTGGCAATCTTGTCCTTCTTTTCCGAGCCTTTGACAACGGGAGTGAGTGGGGAGTTGGTATCCGGGGGAAAACCGGCAATGCGGCTCGAGATACGCAGCGGTGGTGATGGCTTAGCGATAGTGTTAGTCGGCGTAGCCTTGCTGGTCTTGCCTGCATTGTCATCAGTGGTGGGTGTGTCAGGCTCTGCCGCCGCAGATTGCACAACAGACAGGCGACTCGACGTGCGCCGGCTAGAAGAAGCGGCGGGGGTCATATTGGTACTGCTAGTCGGCGATTGGCGGCCAGTCTTGGAGCTGACCGGGACGGCGTTGATATCACTGGTAGCTGGCGTGTTGAGCTGCTCCGCCTCACGAGCGGCGGCTCCGCCAACCTCTTTCTTGCGGCTTGATGAGCGGATGTCACGGGTCGCGGTCGCTGGCGTAGAAGCGGAGCCGCTGAGCGCTTCGGGGGTGGATGGAGTGCTGTTGTCGCTGTTGCGCGTCGAGGAGCGCAAGGCGCGCGGTGCGGGCGAATTGCTCGACTCCATGGTATTTACGTCGCTGTTGCGCGCGGACCGCAGTGTGCGGGTGGCGGGTGTGTCGGGCATGGCTGCCGCGTAGTAGCTATGGTCGCGTGTAGGCGTGGGAGGACAATGCTGGGAGGGCGGAGCGATATGTGTGACCTTTGGTGGATGGTGAGAAGAGCGCAAGATCCGTGGACTTTGAGCTCGAGGACCATGCGCAGAAAGAAGAGTTAAGGCAGAAGGGGAAGTGTTGGACGCGAGAGCCAAAGGCTGGTAGAAGAGGGCGTCCAAGTCGCGAATGCACCGCAGTCGACCTTTAGCCACAGAGCAGGCTAAGCCACAGCTCTCTGACTCCCTTCCTCTCACTCACATACACACACTCACTCTCTGACTTCGACACAGAAGAATCTGCCCAACCGTGTCTAACCGTGTTGCTAAGCAGTCGGTGGTTCCTCGACTACACCCCACGAACCTACCGTGATCGAAACGCTGGTGAATCTCAAAGCCATGTCTTCAACGATCCATCATCGACGTGCGCCCATGAGGTATCCTCCCGTAAAATCGGTCAAGGTCTGTGAAGTTCCCAAAGAAGCGAGGGGGCCGGCATGGTCCGGGGCTTGACCAGTCCTTGTTCGTGAGCTAGTCTTTCAGTGTCCAAAGCCAACTCAAACATCAATCTTCTGGGGACTTGAGGCAATTTCACTGGTGAGGATCTCTAGCCTTCGCTTGCCATCTCTATTGTTCGTCATATTGTTGTCTTGCTTCCAGGTTTGATCTTCCTATCTCTTTGAATTTCTTTTTTCTTTACAAAATGGGAAGAAAACATTGCGGCCAAGGCCATTGAAGATGTTTATGGATCGTTAGTTCGTTTGTTCAGTTCTTGCGCTGCGTAATCTTGAACCTGTGTTGCTGTCAGTATACACCGGGTCCAAGGATACCACGCCAGCAATACTTACAAGAAGATGTTCTCCCTCCCGTAAGCGTCCTTGTCCGGGTCATCCGCGACGGGCTGCACGTCAAACGTCTTCTTTATCGCCTTGACAAAGTGCAAATCCGCCCTTCTCCTCTTCTTGAAGCAGAAGTAGCAAACGGTATTGGGGCCAATCAGGTCCTCCAGAGTCTTCTGCAGCAGCGGGAAGGCAGGCTCGAAGTATACGCAGTCGGCAGCCAATATCACGTCGGGCGGCGCGGGTATGTCGGCGGGCGGCGCGGTGCCCCAGTCGTAGATGAGCGGCTTGACGCGGGCGGAGAGGTGGTTGAGGGCCGTGTTCTGCTGCATGAGGGCGAACATGGGCTCCTGGTCGGTGATGTACAGCGGCTGCTTCTCGCTGGCCGAGATGTCGCAGCCGAGGGCGACGGCCAGGCCGACGAGCCCGCCACCGGCGCCGAGCTCAACTCTGCGGGCAGACACGACGCGGTCAGCAGGCGGAGGTGTGGCGGAACGGAAGCCTGAGGCGTACAAACATTGAGCAGCCCTTGAGGTCGTGCTTGTGCTGGCGCAGCAGGTAGCGCGACAGCACCATGCCGGCGGGCCACAGCTGGCCGCCGCATCCTCCCTTTAGATCCTCGTGCAGCTTGAGTGGGCGGCTGAGCAGGCCGTCAAAGTCGATGGTCGAGGTGCTCGCAGCCTTGTATTGCGGCAGCTCCACAAAGTCCTCGGAGAAGCTGGCGAGGAAGCTGTCGTCGTAGGCCATGGTGTGGGACGTGCGGGAGTGTGAGGTCGGTTAGGGTGACGCCGCCCCGCCAAAGACCCTTTAAATAACGATTGTATCATTCGGCGCTACTGCCTTTTTTTTTTATCACCACTACTTCCGACAGCGCACCAAATACTCCACCGCCAGACGGGACAAGGGGCTGTTTCATCTCTACTCGGGAAGCGGAGTGCTGTCTTTACCGGAACGTAGCGAAGGTGACAGTGTGAGGCGAACGACGGTGATCATATTGGCGCTTTCGCATCGGCAATGCTATCGCCGCCGGTCGATGGAGTATTTCATAGATGGCGATAGCAATAGCGATAGCACCCCCTGTCGGATCGGGCCGCTTCGCCAATCATCCAAAGGGCGGTCACAGGGGTGAGCGAGCGAACCCTGTTCCTATACCATGTCAGGGCCACTCTTTCACAACAACAAAGTCCATCAGCTATATCTCTCACTATTTGCATCAATCATGTCGAAACCAGGGCAACATCACCATCTTTGCTCATCTTCACCTATAACTCAATATGCTGGTCCTCTTCGTACCTCTAGTGACCGCATCTTCGTTCATGCTTTCACCAAAAGCAGGCACCTCGCCCGAAGACTACTTGTGCCTCAATCCTCCCTTGTCACATTATCCACACTACCACAGTCCTGGCCAGCATAACCCTCACCACGCTCTCTTTCCACCCTCAGCGCCTCCACATGCTTCCGATACGCCTCAACCTTGCCCTCCATCTCCGGATCCTCATACCCCTTCAGAAACACACCCTGTCCCGACCCATTACTCCTCCTCATCCGCCCCAACCCCCCTTCCTCATCAGAAACCTCCCCACCACTCCACAAACTCCTCGTCTCCGTCTCCTCCTCCCCGGCCCCTCCCCCGGCCCACTGCCTCGTCTCCGCCCAAACCCTCTCCCCCCACCCCCCAAACATCTGCCCCTTCACCGCCATCAGCCTGCACTGCTCCCTCACCGTCACCCCCGCGAACCCATCCCCCGCCTTCACCAGCGGCAAGTCATCGATATACTCCCCTTCCCACGTCCTCTCGACTCCCCCACCATCTCGCCTACCACCTCGTCCTCCTCCTCCCCCTCCTCCTCCCCCTCCTCCTCCCCCTCCAACACCCCGATCATCACCCAGCCGATCTCCTCCCTCCCCATTCTCCACAACCCACTGCAGCACCCTCAACGCCAACGGACTCGGCCCCGCCAGCGGCCCGCTCCTCGCCGCCCACATGCGCGCGATGGCGCGGACGGGCGGGCCGGACGACGTCCGCGAGAGGTCGGGCTCGCTTTTAATGTAGGGGCGGAGGCGCGAGGCGGCCGCGAAGAGGGCGCCGTGTTTGCCGCCGCCGCCGCGGTGGTGCGGGTGCGGGTGTTTGCGCCAGGCGCCGGAGCGGGTGAGGATGCGGATCGTGCCGGTGGGGGAGAGGAGGGAGTCTGGGGGTGTGCGGGGGCGGGGGCGGGGGAGGGAGGAGGGAGCTGGTGGTGAGTGTTGGAGCGCGGATTGGTGTCGTTGTCGTTGATGTCGTTGTTGTTGTTGTTGCCTGGTGTCTGGCACGGCCGTTCTCGATGGCGGTGCGGGTAATGGTGGTGGTAGAAGCAGCAGACGCCGCCGCTGCCGCCGCCCTGCTTCTGCAACCTCCTCCGCCCTCCTGTCCACCGCCGCCGCCGTCGTCCTGCTGGCGCTCACCTCGGCCACCAGACTACTGCCGCCGTCCAACAGCTCCGCGACGCTCCTGCTGATGCTCCAGATGCTCCAGACGCCGCTGACACTGCCATCGCTGCCCTCCTCCTCCTCCTCCTCCTCCTCCTCCTCCTCCTTCTTCTTCGTCGTCGTCATCGCTGTCACGGAACCTGTAC